ATGTACACGTGTACCGCGCTCGGGGACATGTGGCACTGTCAGCCAATGCCTCGGCTTGGTATGGTCGTGTGGCTCCTGGGCGCCATCGGATGCATCCGGATGTGTTCCTGCAAAGACTGTAAGCGTAGGTTGGACTTGCCATCCCATGTGCTCCAGGTTGCGTTGTGGGCCTGAGTCAGTGCGCCCAAGACCCGGTGTCTACAGAGGGAACGTGAGACCAGTGCCCCTGAGGGCCACCTGGGTCTGTGGTGGGTTGCTTGTATCCTCCTGCTGCGGTTCCATGCGTGAGCTGGTGGCCCTTCGCTATGGCTCAGGGTTTTGCCTGTTGGGATTGGTGCGGTGGGTGTTTTTCTCCCGCCTCTGACTCTTACGTTTTGCCACCCTCCACTGGTGTGGCTGGCCCCCCTGGGGTTTTACCCTTGATGCCCTCAGTGCGGTGGGGCCCCGAGTTTGGGGCGTTGTAGTTAGGGGTGCCAAGTTGTCTCGTGGGAGTTTCCCAGGTTTCCCCTCTGCTTGATCCGTGCATCTCATAAGCTCTGTTTTGCTTAGCTCAGTTGGCTGTAAGAGTGCCATCAATTTAGCCCAAAAGTCTTCAAAGAGTATATTGATTGAGTCTCTCTCATTTATGTCTGTGCCCAGACTAGGTAGTGGTTGCTCATTTAATTTTGCTAGGTCTCTCTTGTCCGCCATTTTGGAGGCCCTAAAGCCCGCTTTGCTTGAAAGAGTCGCGGGCATGGTCGGGAGGTGAAGGGCTCGAGGCTCTCCGTCTAGCAGGGACCGGGATATCCCACGCCGGTCCATGGGGGGGGGAGTGTGTATTCGCGTGCTGCTGGCTGCGATCGGAGGGAAAGCTGCCGTTCTTCTCCTCCGCCTCCCTTGGTAGGCCTCAGTTTGCCGTGGCGGTGTCCGTCGTCCCGGGTGTCGAGTGCGGCATCATTCGATTCCGGCCGGGTTCCCCCATGCCGTGGGCCAGGTCCCAGGAGGATTGGGGCTCTGTAGCTCGATTAATCCGCAGATTTAGGGTTCGTGTGGCGGGAGCTCTAGCAGAGCACGTCCAGCCAGCTCGTCGGTTAGGCTCCGCCCCACGTGACTCCATATTGGGAAGATCTCGGTCGCAGTGATTGATGTAAGCCGAGGCTGCATTGATAGAAATATCTCTCAGAATTGCATGTACTGTAATTACCAAAATGGGATCCACAAACCAACATGTCACCATTCATTGAGATTATTCTCTGTTATCATAGGGCACAGCTGAGCACAGCCTCCATTGCATATTGAAGGGATTTTAGTTGAGACCCTAGTGTATTGCTTGCTAATTTTATCTGCCATGGTCGGCCTGACTTTTTTGTGTTTTTACTAACACTTTTACCATCTCATGCCAAATCACATCGTGACTAAACCACAAAACAATAATGAAACACAGTATAAACGCTTTTGTATATTTATGATAGGTAGAATCCCATTTATCATTGGGATTTCTTTTAATCACAGGAGTGTCAAGTTATTTGGCTGGCAAATTCCAACAAAGCCTGGATCAAAAGAATGTATGTGTACAGTAACTAGCCATTGTTTTAGCAACATCACGTCTTGTATGTCCTAACTCTCATGCACCCCTGCCCTGCCCCCTACTCTCAATGCCAATCTTTTATATGGCACTTGTTTTCCAATAGATGAAAGAACAGGACTGTAACCCATTCAAGACCACAGCAAATTCCTTAGAATGTGAAGAATGTAAGCAGTCTGCATTCCAGGAAAGAACAGCACCTTATGTAATTCCACTAAGCCAGTTTGGACAATTATGAGGTCTGTTCCCTTTCTGGCTAGAGCGACTGTAGCATTCTTCACTATTTGTAATAAACATTGCTATTCATAAGGGAATATATATAGTACCCCCAGTGAGCTGTTCTTTCTTCCAAATTTGGACCAACGAAAAGAGGAAACGTATATAGTTCAGATCGTAATACATGAGAATTGAATGCAAGCTTTTATTCATTATCGATTTTAAAACATAAATTGAGCAAATCAAATACGGGGGTGACGCACAATCTCGGTCCTGCAGCAACAAGTCCTTCTGTACAAGTTCTCTCGCTGGACCTACGCGTTTCGATGTCCTCAGGGTTAAAAACTGTCCTTTGTGTTGGAACCCTTTGGAACTCCTATTTGATTTTTTTTTTATCAGACAGTGTTATGATGGAAGTCTGATACATGTTTAAGCCCCACATTATAAATGCAACGTTCGGGCCTTGATTCACAAACCTAGCACACAGCAAAAACTCAGACTTTTGCAACTTTAAGGTACTGGCAAACATTGGAAGACTGTCCTTATTTTCCTCACCTTTGTTGTCATATTACTATTTTCACTAAAACAATGTTACCCTTTATACATGTTGTTTACCACTGTCATTTTCTGTGCATACTGTTTTTCAGTGAATGTACTCCACCAATATTTCATGTTCATATAGTTATTAAATTGAAGTGATAGAATTTGGTTGGTAAACCTTTCAATTGTATACAAAAAAATATTTGCTCTACCATCCTGCCACTTGGCGGGGGCTGGGGGAGCATGTGCCTCCATCCCCATTGAATCAGCAACCACGAAGACGGTCTGCCGGCCTAGACCAGAAATGGCTTCATGCAGAAGGGGGAGCAGGAAGCAGTCTCTGCTTCCCCAACTGCTAGACACCAAAGAATGGGCTCCAGCCTTTGCTTCAATGTTCTTTCAGGGTAGACCATGCGCAGTCTGCTGAAGAGCTCTAGCATGAGAAAAAGGCCCTGTATTTGTTCTGCACAGCGCAAGCAAATTGAATAACATGCTTGTGTTTTGTTTGCTTGAAATTTGTCTATGGTGTCTCCATAAATGGACTACCTCGAGACAAAAATCCATTAAAGTGTACTGCGCATGTGTTTGGAGCCTGTCTATGGTAGTGTGTGAGGGTGCGGTGAGTGAAGGTGGTGTGTGTGAGGGTTATGTGTGTGAGGTGTGCGTGTGAGGGTGCTGTGTGTGAGTGAGGGTGCTGTGTGTGAGGTGTGCAGTGTGTGTGAGTGAGGGTGCTGTGTGTGTTAGGGTGATATGTGTGCGAGGGGACTGTGTGTGTTAGGGTGCTGTGTGTGTGTGTGAAGGTGCTGTGTGAGAGTGATGGGTGTGTGTGTGTGTTAGAGTTCATTGTGTGTATGTGTGAAGGTGCTGTGTGTTAGGGTGTTGTGTGACAGTGATGGGTGTGTGTGTGTGTTTGTGAGAGTGCTGTGTGTGTTAGGGTGCTGTATGTGGTGTGTATTTAGAGGGATTGTGTGTTGGGGGAGGCAGGTTTTACTAATATTTATTTTTTGTGGGGTATGTATATATTTTTGTTAATAATAATAATAAAAAAAAAAAAAAGGCATTGTATCCCCCCTTTGGCCTGGGAGGGGGGGCCGTGCTGCCATCCCTGTTAGTCCTAGTGGTGAGTGAACTCTAGCCTGTGCGGTTAGAGTTCACTCTTGCGAGAATCGGAGCAACCCTCCGGATCTCGCGAGAGGAAGCCGGCGGAGACAGCCACTAGATGGACGTCCGGGTCTTTAGGCGACTGTTGGTCGCCTAAATGATGCTGGACGTCATCACGCTATGTATGAGGACTTCCAGCGTCACCGGAATCATGCTTTCCTATCAGAAAATCGTAATGCAAGCACAGCCATTGCCGTTCATGCGCATTAAAGGGACACTCCAGTGCCAGGAAAACAAATCGTTTTCCTGGCACTGCAGGTTGCCTCTCCCTCCCACCCCCCATCCCAAGTTGCTGAAGGGGTTAGATCCCCTTCGGTGACATGCCTGAGACCAGCACCGATGTCCTTTGGCGCTGGTTTAGGGTCAGCCCACTCTCCTCCCCCGCTGTCATTCGGTGGGGGAGACCGATTGTGAATGCGCGGCCGCCGGCGGGGGAGACCCAGGGATGGCGCTTCATATAAGGCAAACTAGGCATCCGCCTAGGGCGCCATATAGGAGTGGGCGCCCTGCGCCCCCATCGCCGACCCTTTAAATTCTGCAGCCGTCTGAGCGCTCTATAGAGAGCGCTCAGACGGCTGCCGCACTGAGTGTGCACTTCCTGTCAGTCCAGCCGGGTCGCGGACCGGAGAGGAGCTCGGCCACGCTACAGGGAAGGGGAGGTGAGTAGAACATGATTACAAGGAGGGAGGGAGGGGAGAAGATTATAGGGGAGGGGGAAGATGGATGGAGGGGGGGAGAAGATGGGATGGGGAGAAGATTACAGAGGGAGGAGAAGATGGGAGGGGGGGGAGAAGATTATAAAGTAAGGGGGGAGGATTACAGGAGGAGGGAGTTGTAAAAGATGGGAGGGAGAAGGTTAGGGGAGAAGATTATAGGGGAGGGAGGGGGAGAAGAAGAAGATTACAGGAGGGAGGGAGGTGGGGGAGAAGAAGAGAAGATTATGGGGAAGAAGAGAAGGTTATGGGGAGAAGAAGAGAAGATTATGGGGGAAGAAGAGAAGGTTATGGGGGAGAAGAAGAGAAGACACGGGGAGAAGAAGAGATTACAGGGAGGGAAGGGGGGAGAAGAAGAGAAAATTACAAGGGGGGAGGGGAGAAGATTACAGGGAGGGGGGAGAAGAAGAGATTACAGGGACGGGGGAGAAGAAGAGGAGAACACGAGGGTGGGAGATAAGAATGTAGGGGAGGGAGAGACCACTAAAGGAGGGAGGGGACGGTGGAGAGACCACTAGGGGAGGGTGGGGGGAGAGGAGAGACCACTAATGGAAAGTCGGGGAGAAAAGGAGACCACTAAGGGAGGTGGGGGGAGAGGAGAGACCACTAAGGGGCAGGGGAGATCTCTAAGGAATGGAAGGGAGAGCTCTATAGGACAGGGGCAGGACAGGGAGCTCTTTCACACCACGCGCGCACACACACACACACAATGCATCCCTATACACACAGAAACACAACATGCTTCCCTTACACACAGAGAAACACACAATGCAACCCTTACACATAAAGACAATGCATCCTTTGCACAAATACACAGAAACACACAATGCATCCCTTACACACACATGCAAACACACACTGCTTCTCTTACACACACACAGAAACACAATGCATCTCTTACACACACTCAACGCACCCCTTACAGACACACACACTGCATCCTTTACATACACAGAAACACACTTTGCATCCCTTATGCATACAAACACAGATTCACACAATGCATCCCTTACACACAACAAGAAACACACAATACATCCGTTATACACAAACACTCACTGCTTTCTGTCCCTTACACAAAAACACACTGCTTCCACTAAACACAAACACACTGCATCACCTACACAAACTGGTATCCCTATACACTACATTCCATAAGCACACACATTAGATCCTCTACAGTAACACATAACACATCCCCTACACACTCTACTCCCTGTGTGCGAACTTATGGGTGGAACATGTAGGTGGACTTATGGGTGGGCTTTATGGGCATACTCACCGTCAGGCTCTGTGGGCCAGACCTTGAGCTATGTAAGAGGCCCCAAAAAATGGAGCTGCTTCCCGTTCTCCCAGAACATTGAATTTTGTGACCACAGCAAATCTTTCTTTTGCCTAGGGCGGCAAAAATCA